GAAGATCTGGTGATGATTGATGGGATGGGAGGAGGGGGAGAGAGGAGTGTTAGTGTTTAGAAGGGGAATCCCCTTCCATTAAGACTTGAGGGTGTCAAGTCCTTTTCTGGGGTTACTTCCTTCTTCTTTTAATGCCATAGGACCAGCTTCAGAGTCACTGGACTTCTTTCGCACAACATATCTGTCCATAGTGGCTGTACCTCTCGTTCCTTTATGACTTCCCTAAGTGTTTCACAACATTGTCAGTGTACAGGTTGCCAACACGGCTTGCAATAGCTGTGTGAGGGTGATTTTCATCCATGAAGGTTTGCACTTCAAGCCACTTTGCACAGATTTTTTTTAATCTTTGTAGTAGGCAACTTCTTCAATTTCTCTCTCCCCTCCTCTAAACCAGTTTCCTCAGGTCTGGCCTCTTGCTCTTGAAGTTGATCTATCAGCTCATCAGTGGTTAGTTCTTCATTGTCCTCCTCACCAACTCTTCCACATCCTCCCCACTAACCTCCAACCCCAAGGACTTTCCAATGCCACAATGGATTCCTCAAGAGGCATAATCTCTCAGGGTTAGCCTCAAACCTTCAAAATTCCTTTTGTCTACACATTCTGGCCACAGTTTCTTCCAAGCAGAGTTCAAGGTCTTCTTAGTCACTCCCTCCCAAGCCTTACCATAAGGTTTACACAATTGAGGATATTAAAGTGCTCTCTCCAAAACTCTCTTAGAGTCAGTTGAGTTTCTGAGGTCACTACAAAGCACCTTTCAAACAGAGCTTTTGTGTACAGTTTTTTGAAGTTTGCAATAACCTGCTGGTCCATGGGCTGCAGGAGAGGAGTGGTATTAGGAGGCAAAAACTTGATGTTAATGAATTTCATGTCCCCATAAAGTCGCTCTGCCACGTCTGTAGGATGACCAGGGGCATTGTCTAACACCAGGAGGCACTTAAGTTCTAATTTCTTTTCAGTTAGGTAATCTTTCACATTGGGGGCAAATGCATGGTGTAAACCAGTATAGAAAAAGTCCTAGTGACCCATGCCTTACTGTTTGCCCTCCACAGCACACACAAATTCTCCTTGAGGACATTCTTTTGCCTGAACGCTCTGGGAGTTTCAGAGTGATACACTAATAAAGGCTTAACTTTGCAATCACCTGCAGCATTGGAACACATCAACAAAGTAAGCCTGTCTTTCATAGGCTTATATCCTGGGTGTGCCTTTTCCTCCTGAGTAATGTAGGTCCTGCTTGGCATTTTCTTCCAAAAACAGGCCTGTTTCATCACAATTAAACACTTGTTCAGGTTTCAGTCTTCAGTCTCTATGTACTCTTGAATTCATGCACATATTTTTCAGCCGCTTTGTGGTCCGAACTGGCAGCCTCACCATGCCTTATCACACTATGTATGCCACTACGCTTCTTAAATCTCTCAAACCAACCTTTGCTGGCCTTAAATTCACTCACCATCACTAGTTGCAGGCATTTTTTAATTAAATCCTCATGCAACTTCCTAGCCTTTTCGCTTATGATCGCTTGAGAGACGCTATCTCCTGCTAGCTGTTTTTCATTTATCCACACAATAAGAGTCTCTCAACATCTTCCATCACTTGCGATCTTTGTTTCGAAAACACAGTGTTAAACCTTTGGCAAGAACAGCTTCCTTGATTGCCTTTCTGGTGCCCACAATAGTAGCGATGGTTGATTGGGGTTTCTTGTACAAACCTGACCAGGTCGGCGATACGCACTCCACTTTCATACTTATCAATGATCTCTTTCTTCATTTCTATTGGAATTCTCACCCTTATTGGTGTAGGGTTGGCACTAGAAGCTTTCTTGGGGCCCATGGTCACTTATTTTCCAGAAACAGCACCGAAAACACTGTAATAATACGAAATGTTCCGATTGTATGCTTGGATGTTACCGCGGAGGCTGGCTGGTAAACAATGGCACGGGCGGCACATGTGAGGCTGGCTGAGGGCGCACATTGGACGCATCTCGGACGAAAATCGGTGAGCGGGTTTTTAAGCGGTATGCGAGGCAAAATTTTTGCGATTAAAGCAAGTGGTATGCGGATTAATCGTTATGTGATGCCATCGGTATGCGGGGGTCCACTGTACATCGGAAACCCTGAAAGGGTTAAATGAGGAAAATTGACTCTGCAAATGAGCAAATCCAGTTGTGAGCAAGGTCATGGAATGGATTAAACTCGCAAGTAGAAGTTCCACTGTACAACGAATTTCCAAGAAAAGATATGGTACTATGTTTCGCAATCAGCTCTCCTTGCACTGTATCACTCGCTCATCTACCCTTATCTCACATGTGGAATTTGTGCATGGGGGTCAACAACATCAAATCACCTAAGGCCTTTAATAACCCAGCAAAAGGCTGCAATCAGAATGATAAATTCCCACTCACGACAGCATACTCCACCTCTATTCAAAAGTCTAAATTTGCTCACCATAAAGAACATCCACACTTATTCATGTGCCTACTATATACATAGAACAATACATGCAAACGTAAACCCTCCACTCAAACTTCTCCTCACCAACCTTAACAGGACAAACGACCATAACACAAGACACAGATCTCTTTTTGATGTACCCCGTGTCCATATCACACTGTAAAAACTCTATGCACATGAAAGGTCCCAAAATCTGGAATTCATTACCAGAACATACTAAAGTAACCAGGCCTGAAAATCAATATAAGACTCTTCTAAAAAACCACTTACTTGCCCAGGACTAAATAACCAACACTCAATATTTAACATTCCTAATAATTCTCCCAATTACTTAAATCTGAAAGCTTCAAGACAACATATTGAAATTTGATCATCTTGTTTGTTATACATTGTAATGTGACAAATTTGTGAAACTATAATGCTTCAATACAGAAATGCTCAAATTTCATTGTTTCAAATACTCAGTTGTACTTCATATTGTTTATTGCTTATTAATTTTAAGTTGAGTTTAAGCCTCCCCATAATGCTTTGCATACAAGGGGCTTTTGGCACAACCACCCAACTAGTAGTATAATTCCTTGTACAACTATGTATCATGTCCAAATAAACTATATGAATATGAATATGACTTGACTGACTTACTGAATGACTTGACTTACTGAGTGACTTGACTGACTTATTGAGTGATTTGACTGACTTACTGAGTGACTTGGCTAACTGACTGAACGACTTCAGTACCAGAACCTCTACCATCCACCTCAGCCCAGTAGGACCACAACATAACTCTCCACTCTCTTCACAATCATCCACAAACACCAGCACCCACAATTTAAGGTAAGAAATACTATTATTTCTGTTACATTTGTAGTCTTAAGCAGTAAAAACAACATAATACATCACAACAATGAACTACAACTACATATTCACTTTTATTTTTTAAGATGTGGAGGCCTAAAAAAAAGTTGCTTGGCTTTTTGGGGGCTCCCAGGAATGTAACCCTATTTTTCCTGTAAGTTCTTCAGTTCATCTAACACGATTTTACCTAACACGGCAGTTTCAGGAACGTAACTACCGTGCTAAATGACGGTCTACTGTATTATCATTTATAATTCTCCTAACTGCCATATTATGTTAATTATTTGTAATTTGAGGTATGAATGGAGCATTCTAATGAAAATGTTTTAAAAACTTTGTTACAGAATTTAGATTCAAAATTCAAATTCAGATACTTCATTTCATTTATGCAGTACACAGGTAATGTTGTTTATATGTAATAAAACATTGTTAGGCACAAAAGAAAGCCACAAGTATGCAGCATCTCAGGCAAAAAGTGTTTATGTGAGTGCTGAGTTTGCAACATTTGAATTGTTCAGTCTTTGAATAACAAGTGATAATTATTTAGCAGGAATCCATAGTAAATGAGGCGGTGGTGCTGGATCTTCCAGTATGGGCGCAGTGCCTCACTTCTGTACGAGTGTTGGATAATAACTGGGTGGTGGGTGTGGCAGCTTCCAAAGAAATACTTCATCAGACTCTGGAAGGCCACTCTCGAAGTGTTCTCTGTGACTATGTCAAAAGGTACACAATCTTGGTATATCCTTTAATGTAAAGAAGCTGCAAAATCTTCCTTACATTATATGTATGTACATTGTATATAAAAACCCAGTAATTAAGATCCAGTGCTATTATAAATGAAGGTCTGAAATGAGCATAGCTTTCAATTGCAGATACTGTTCAACCAGGATTTATTTGTTAAGAGACACACCGTATTTCGCGGTGTATTAGATGCATTTTTCCATAAAATGCCTCCAAAAACCACCCTGTGTCCTATAAACTGAAGGTCACTGATGGGAGCTGTAAATTTAGGGTGAGGGATGGGGTGTAGTTTTCCCAGTTAGGTCCGATGCTGAGCCAGTGAAACTAAAACAAGTCTTATAAGTTGTGTCTTATAAGCCGCGAAATACGGTAAGTGGTGATGTGATGATTGGATCAGAATTGAAATTCAAATTCAAAATTCAGATACTTTATTTTTCTTGTGCAGTACACACATAATGTAGTTTACATGTGATAAAATATTGGTAGGCACAAAAGACAGCCACTAGTATGCAGTAATCCTAATGCTTACAGACCACTTAGGAACTAGACACAGATTATTAAGTAGGAGTTATTAAATGTACAAAAAAGAGAGGTAGCTAAATGAACAGTAGTACAATTTTGAAAGTATGCATTAATACTTTAACCTGACTCAATGATCTTCAGTTAAGTAGGTCAGCGATGTATGACCCTGGTGGGTTTAGTGCTTAGTTTTGATCATAATAATCACTTAAGTAGGATTTCTTAAGCAGTTAACTATTATAATATTTAACTTCTTATTTTTATTTGTTGCTTCATGACAGCCATCCAAGCAGCTTACAACAGCGGCATCTTGCAAGGTCACAGGCTAGCCGTATAATGTGGCATCATCAGAGAATAGAGTTTGATGGAGTGCCTTTTAGTATTGTTTCCTCTGATGATCTCAAGTGTGCATTTGGAATGAAATATAAAACTAAAGTAAGTTCTGTATGCAAATGAATTTTGGCTGACAATAAAATTGTTGCACATTTATTAAGGTACAGTGGACCCTTGGTTTTCGTGTTTAATCCATTCCAGAGGGATAGGCGAAAACTGAAACCATTTTCCCCATAAGAAATAACGTAAATTCAGTTAATCCGTTCCAGACACCCAGAAGTATTAATACAGACTTTTTTTTTTTTAACTTAACCCTTTCAGGGTCCAAAGGCAAAATCTGAAGGGGTGCCCCAGTGTCCAAGAAATTTTGAAAAAAAAAACTGATTTTTTTCTTACAGAATTAAAGATTATTTTTTTGTGAAGGTAATAAAACAACAACAAAAATTCTGATCAGTACTTACCGAGATATATAGGCGAGAAGTTGACCCAAATTGACCAGGTGGTGGCAACATCAGCGATTTCCACAAACCCGCATTTCTTTATTTTACGTTTTTTTATACTTTTTTCTTTTCTTTTCTATTTTTTTTTTCTAGTAACATTTGTGGCCTGTGAGACCAATACTGTATATAATGTATATACAGTGGACCCCTGGCATACGATATTAATCCGTTCCTGAGAGCTCATCGTATGCCGAAATTATCGTAAGGCGAATTAATTTTCCCCATAAGAAATAATGGAAATCAAATTAATCAGTGCAAGACACCCAAATGTATGAAAAAAAAAAGTTTTACCGCATGAAATATTAAGTTTAATGCACACAAACTGAAGAAGACATGCACAGTAAGTAGTACTATACTAACAGTAGAATACATAATGCTTACCTTTAATGAAAATCTGGTGATGATTGATGGAATGGGAGGAGGGGAGAGTGTCGAATTTATTGTTTAGAAGGGGAATCCCCTTCCATTAGGACTTGAGGTATCAAGTCCTTTTCTGGGGTTACTTCCCTTCTTCTTTTAATGCCACTAGGACCAGCTTGAGAGTCAGTGGACTTCTGTTGCACAACATATCTGTCCATAGAGCTCTGTACCTCTCGTTCCTTTATGATTTGTCTAAAGTGGTTCACAACATTGTCATTGTAATAGTCACCAGCACAGCTTGCAATAGCTGTGTGAGGGTGATTTTCATCCATAAAGGTTTGCACTTCAAGCCACTTTGCACACATTTCCTTAATCTCTTTTTTAAATTCCATACTAATTTTCACCCTTTTTACCACAGGAATGGCACTAGAAGCTTTCTTGGGGTCCATGATGACTTATTTTGTAGTTACAAGCACTAAAAACACTGGGATAATGTGAAATGTACCGAATGTATGAGTAGATGCGACCACACTGGCTGGCTTGTGAACACTAGCACTGAGGCCACAAGTGGGACGCGTCTCAGACGAATTGCGTGAGGCGAGTTTTTTTATCGTGAGACGAGGCAAAATTTTTGCGTTAAAATGTATCGGATGCCGGATTTAATGTATTGTAATAAAGTTGGTAGAATTACCGACGATATGTAAAGTAAAAGGACTCAAGTGCAACTAATGTGACATTTTATTGTGGCAACATTTCGCTCTCCAGGAGCTTTATCAAGCCATTACAAACAATACATGGACACAGAGGGTATATATAGGCTCAGAGTGAGGTGCAATACTAGTGGTAGTAGTAGTAGTAGTGACAAAAGTTGTAGTAGTAGTAGTAATACAATATGGTAGAGCAATTAATTTGTACATGAGTAAAAGGATATAAAAGCTATTACTTGGGTAACATAAAAATAGGTTGGACAAATATAGACTGGATAGAGGCAGCCTCAGTGAACACATTTACGCATGTAGGAGCAATAACTTGAACAACGCCTGTGTACAACACTGAAATCCCACCAATCATCTCATGAAATTCAGGGATGCCCAATTAGTGATCAAAGAAACTAATTTCCGCAGACGCAAGTGCCTCGAATCAGCACTGATCGCTGTTTCGAATACAATTAAACAAAACAAAGGCAGCTTCACCATCTCTGAAGTCTTAGCAAGAATCCTCCTGAAAACAGTAAACCCTGCCATCACATAGTCTCTCCTGTTATACTACACAAAGCACATTACAGAGAGTAAACACTGAAACAAGCTGCCTCTTTCCAGTCTATATTTGTCCAACCTATTTTTATGTTACCCAAGTAATAGCTTTTATATCCTTTTACTCGTGTTACTCATGTACGAATTAATTGCTCTACCATATTGTATTACTACTACTACTACAACAACAACTTTTGTCACTACTACTACTACTACTACTACTACTACTACTACCGCCGCCGCCGCCGCCGCCGCCGCCACCACCACCACCACCCACCACCACCACCACCACCACCACCACCACCACCACCACCACCACCACCACCACCACCACCACCACCACACCACCACCACCACCACCACCACCATCACCATCACATCATCATCATCATCATCATCATCATCATCATCATCATCATCATCATCATCATCATCATCATCATCATCATCATCATCATCATCATCATCATCATCATCATCATCATCATCATCATCATCATCATCATCATCATCATCATCATCATCATCATCATCATCATCATCATCATCATCATCATCATCATCATCATCATCATCATCATTGCACTTCACTCTGAGCCTATATATACCCTCTGTGTCCATGTATTGTTTGTAATGGCTTGATAAAGCTCCTGGAGAGCAAAACGTTGCCACAATAAAATGTCACATTAGTTGCACTTGTGTCCTTTTACTTTACGGATTTAACGTATGCCGATGCCATCGTATGCCGGGGGTCCACTGTATATACACTCACTGTATTGAACACAATAACTGCACTAAAGTTATTATTATAATATTGTTTACCACTTTTGTTTACTACAATAAACATGCACATATGTTGTATAATACTAATGTTCTATTATAGATTCACATATGTACAATCACTGGACATGTTTTTAGAACTGCTGCAACTTGAGGAACTCCTTGAAACAAGGACTCATGCTCAGAGGTGCCTTGCATTCCTTGCACATAAACCGAGTGTCTTTGCGTCTTTGTTGCTGTCGTTTTGTTTGTGCACAGACAACACATCTCTTCTGAGCAAATTTCTTCTTAGTTGCAGGAAGCTGTATTATGAAGTGATCACCTTCCCTCCTCAAGCGCTTAGGTATTTCCTGAGGAGTTCGAGGATAGTTTTTTTATTGCAAATGTTGTTACCTGGTACTCCATTATGAGTTGTCTGACAACAGACAAACATAATTCACCATACGGTTGTCTGTTGCCGGTCTTTATTTGGTACATATTATATGCACTGAGCATTGAAATGCCCATGAGATGGAAGAAAAGTTTCATGTACCACTTGTAACTCTTATAAACACAATCAACAATGCCAATCTGCATGTCACATTTGTCAACCAAGCGCATGTTTTGTGTATAATCAATCACTGTCACTGGTTTTCGAATATGTTCATTAGCCACTCTGTCAACTTTGCCACTATCTTGCATTTCGTTACGGTGAATGGTTGTCAACAATGTGACATTTCATTTGTCATGCCACTGTAATGCCATGATGTCATTGGCAGTAAACACCTACACCTCACCACTACGAGTGCCTGCGTTGAACCTGGGCATATGTTTACAATTAGAACGCACTGTGCCACACATATCTGTAATGTTTACTCGCAAGAATTCACTGAGTAAAGGGCTTATGTACCAGTTATCAGTATATAATGTATACCCCTTACCAAGATAAGGTGTCATCATCTTTCTCACTACGTCACCTGAGATATCCAATAACATCCTGGTATCTTTCAATGTTTTATTTCCCATGTATACAATAATATCCAATACCAGGCCACTGTCACAGTCACAGAGCACAAACAGTTTTATACCAAAGCATTTCCTCTTGCTCGGTATATACTGCTTGAATGACAGCCTACCTTGGAACAAAATCAAAGACTCATCTATTACAAGATTCTTGAATGGATAAAAGTACATGTTGTACTTTTGTTTCAGATACATAAAAACATTTCTAATCTTGTATAACCTGTCACTTCTGTCAGGCCTGATTTTGTCAGAGAAGTGCAACATACGTAACAGTAACATAAATCTGTTCACTGGGATGATTTCACTGAAGACCGGGGTAGAAATTAGCCGATCTGTGGACCAGTATGATTTTATATTGTGCTTATAGACATGAAGCATAAGCATTATTGTTGCAGAAAGCAAATACATTTCTGGAACAGTTGTTTCTTTCCACCGGTGTAGTCTTGACTGTGGTGATATGATCGCATTTGCCATGGTGTACTCAAAATACTTAGTTACTCTCCCTGACAATAGTTTCCATCAAGGGCTGGTCAAAGAATAGTTCAAAGAATTTCAGTTCATTTGTAGTGTTTCCAAGGGGACAAGTTGGTAGAATTCCACTTTGAGAGTCATCAAACTGGTGGGGCTTGGGAACAAAATTGAGATTTTGCTGCCAATCGCAGATATGGTTTGCTGGTGGATACTGGACATCGTAAGCTGGTTGTGGTGGTAGTTGTAGTTGTGGTGGGGTGGTGGCTGATGCTCCGCTTTGTCCTTGAGCTGAGGAGTCAGCAGCGTGGGTCCCATTGTGGGCTGGTTAGTCATGCATGGCCGTGGGACTACCATCACCACTACCACCACCTACTGATGCCTGTGGTCTATCCATGCCAAGTGTAGCCACATCATCCTCACTTTCACTGTCTATTCCTGGTGTAGGGCCAAGGGATGTACTCCGGGATGTACTCCGTTCCCTGGGCACTGCATAGGGAACACTACCTGAGCGCATGCGGCGGAGTATATACTGAAGCTTCACTGGTGAATATGATTCCTCACTATCACTACTTGAATGATCATCAACAGCAATAAAATCACAATCCACGTCACTATCATCATTACTGAAGTCTGAGGCCTGGCCACGCAAAAATATTAGTTTTCTCTTGCGATGAGGTACAACCGAACGTGACTGAGACGTGCCCACACCAGAGGTAGAAGGTTGAGGATCGTCAGG